TGGGAGCCGACAGGAATGAAGGAAGAGTCATTAATACACAATTAAGTATCCTTGCACTCCAAAGAACGCATGGAAGGTAGCTGTCGAGTAACAGAAAAAGCATCCAGTGACGGAGCCAGAAAGTCAAGTTTTAGTCTTTCTCTGTAACCAACTGGTTGTGTGACTGCAGGACAGCCACTGAGTGAGGGGTCTGAGGCCTGCGGTTATTCCACTGTCCAGTGCAGGCTGAACACCTCTCTCTCTCGACAGGGCAGGGTTAGAGAGACGTGATGGTTAGGGGAGGGCTGTTTAAGAACAAAGTACAATGAAAACATCAAATGTGAACAGTGAGCTGTGACTTGTGGTTGTGTCTTATTACAGGCTTCGTGGCCACAAGCACCTCACACGGTGAGGTCTCCAAAGATGTCTACGTGTCCCAAGTCCTCCACTTCAAACAGAAGTGGCCCCCCTTCACAGCACTGCCCAGGGGAGGCATCTCTGGTACAAACCAAAAGCGGAACAGGGAGTTTAACAATATGCTCCTTTCCTGCTGCAGGCCTTAATTAGAGGCTGGTCTTTGTACTGGACAGAGCGGCACACACGACACCACTGCAGACACCGCTGGGATCGAGGTAGGTGAGCCCAGTTCTTCTCACAGCACGACTTGAGGATGGTCTTTCAACAGGGGATCCTCCAGGCCATCAGCCCTGTCTGGTGTGGTATTTCTCAGCGTTTCTCAGTTAAACTCCAGCAATGTAGCTTTACGCTGTTTCTTCTACCTTCTAATACAAGCTCTCTGCTCTGGTTTCTTACACACCAACTCCTGGACTAGGGCTCCGAGGCACTGCTCTCCCCCCAGCTCCGTCAGACTGGGGCAGATAAGCTATCTCCCAGGACACTGGGATGGGCACCCTGTACAGCCACCCGCATGGAAGTCAATGTCTTCAAATTCCTGAAAAAACCAGGCACAGGCTGTCATCTAGTCCTAGAGACACTGGCTCCACCTGCCATCAACATATGCACTTTGCCTTTGCTCTAGATTTTGAAAATAGGCTGAGGCTCACACTGCAAGGGCTGGAAAGACATGCGTGCCGTCTTTATTGTGTGTCTTTATTCACAAGATATCTTTGCATATCGTTTGGTGCTCATATTTCCAAAGAGCAGTCATCAGTGAGCAGAGAGATATTGGTAACTTATCTCAGTACTGGTGACTGAAACAGAAGCTTCTCCTCAAAGTCTAGGCGATCAAGCTCTATGGCCCTCGATGTGTCTGCAAGCAAAATGCTACAGAACCAATGGAGCTCTCTCCTTCCTCTGATTGTGGACAGTGGGTTAGAGACGATGGCATTAACACAGATACATCCACCCGTAACACCAGCTTCATGGGATGACGGCCTTAAGACTCTGGAAACTTCTCAGGGCAAACACCATTCATTCAGAAACTGTCAGAATCCAAGCCTGCTCAGGTTGTTAATCTAAGAGAGTATTCAGCTCATATGGTGAAAATATGTTGTCATCCATAGTTTTCAAATGCAAATGGGGTAGAGATGACTGCTCCAGGTTAGGAAAAGAAACATCCAAATACCAAAGCCTTTCTTAACATTTAAATACAATAACAGCAGTGGCATCTTCAGTGAAGAGTTCCATAAAGTTTTGAAACTTTTTAAACCAACTGACTATAATCTAAGGATAGAGGGAGTTTGTGCACCAGCAACTACGGTTGCTTCCAAGAAATAAGAAAGCAAATCGATCGGGATTTTTCTGATTAGGGTCTCCACAACTCTAATCTGACAACAGTAACTGTCAATGACACACTGCCGGGCTGAAGCTGTCATTCCCCGTGAGGCACCTGACTCTGATTGTGCTTTGGACGTCAGCAGCTAGCACGATCAGGCTGGGCTATCAGCTTTCTGCTTGGGTTTCAGAACTGCTTGTGAAACTGCGAGGCTGTTTTCCTAAGCAGACTGGAGAGCCTGGGCTTATCTGACTGCTGACGTAGCAGTCTTCTTCGTACAGAAAACAAATCGGGAAAACTCTGAATGGGCTGATTCAGAAGCTCAGGTTTATCACAGACAGAAAAGACTGTCTGAATCCGGTTGCCCTGATCCTAAATTACCATTGTTCAAGTTCACCTGTTTCATGACTTATTTCCTTTCTCCAAAATGGAAGTGGGTACAGCTGGGAGCACTGGGTAAGCAGCCCAGAAAACAAATGGTGTTTCCCAGTGGGGGTACCTCACTTCCCTTCTTTCTATACTTTATCGATTGGAACGGCTAAGAATGAAACACAGGGACATCTGGGGGTTTGTGAGGAGGAGCCAGTCAGGTTTGAGTCTATGGAGGGTGAGAGTGATCACACCCAAACTTTCTCTTCTAGCACCAGTACTCTGTCACCCTCACTAAGAAAGGACAGTTTCTAAGTAAAATGCAACCCAGTTGTCTATACTCAACCTCAGAGTCCACAAACTGTTCACACTGTGAGCACAAGTCAGCAGAGTCACAGCACGGCCTGAGCTTTTTTGTCTCTTAAGAAAACAATACAGTTGAAATCCTCTCTTCCATCTCAAAGGTTGAGAGTGAAATGCAATTACATGATGTAAAAGCCAGAGGACATGTTCCTGGTGTCAGGGATTCACTACCTACATCGAAGAAAGGACATGCCCGACTCTAGAGAAATGGAAAGACAAACGTTCTAGCCTTTCACCCAGTGACACTTCCTCTGATGGAGGAATGATAACATTGGTGCATTTTCATTCTAGACATGATCATTTTTTTCTGCTTTAATGTTATCTTGATCCAAAAAGACATGCTAGATAATGAGCGGCTACAGTCTATTAGAGAAGCTACCACAGAAAAGAGAAAGTGAAATATGTGTAGGACTCCTAGATAAAGTCCCCCAAATGCAACGTGCCCATGAGTGTGTGTGTGTATATCTACAGTTGTGTTCAGGGAGCATGATGGCAGGGGGTGGGGAGTGATTAAAATGGAGGAATGTCAGGTACAACGGGAAGCAAAGGACTCTAGATCATTTACTCAGGACTGTATCTGGTGTCTAAACCGAAGAGAGGTGCAGTACTCACCTTATTTGTTGCATCAATAAATTTGACTCCTTTATAAGAGACTGAAAGAATAATGGTAGGGACCTTCTTCATTTGCTCTGTAGACTTCTGAAATTAAAATTAGAAAGCTGTTAGAGCAGCCTGTGTTGCATGGCAACTGTAGCACATAATTTTTCCTCTTGAAAGAGAAAAATGTGCTCAAGTTCAAAACAACATACACACACATCACACACACACCAAACATACTCTAATTTGAATGTATGTCCCTTCTCTTGGGCTTATCCATGGTTTGGGTTTATGAAGTCTGTCTTGCACTTGAGGCTCTAAAAAGCTTGTGAAGGGACACTCTTTGTCCCTGACGCCAAGGGGAGAAACGAACAGCTCTGTCTCCTACTGCAATTTCAAGCGACTACTCTTTTCAATAGAGTGAAGCCATGTCAGGGTGAACTCCAAGGGTAAGTTTAGCATGAACAAAATATATACTACCACCCCTCCTTTCTTCCTAGTTTCTTTCTTCAAGGCACGGGGCATGTCTGAGTACGTCCTTAAAACAGGGATTTAAAATACATCACTGTGAATTTTTCTTGAACCTGGCCACATCTACAAAAGATGACAGTATATTTACAGCAGAACTGCTCGTGGCCACATAGGATATAATACCACTCTGTGACTATCAAAGCCCTCCTGAGGGAGTCTGTATTTTGAGTCACAGCAAAACCAGACCATGCAGGTAACGTACTGTATCATTTAGAGCTGCTATATTCCCAGAGGCTAAGTTCTTCTGATAGATGTTCACACTGACTGAATGTGCTTAGATTTTGCAGCCTCAACAGGTTTTATGCAACTGCAAAAAGTTTCTCCATAATTCAGCATTTGCCTTTTCTGTTTAGTTTCATCATACATCAGAGGTCACCCACGGTCTGTTTACTTCATTTCCTGTGATGGCTACTCCTCATAAGCACATTAAACATCAAGAAGAACCTACCTGACAGTTGGCCTGATAGATTTTCCACAGGAGACAGGTGAGAACATAATAGGAGAGAAAATACATAAAAAGGTGAGAGGAAACCATTTCAGTGATTCACCAACGGCACAAACTCATTAAAAAGTAAAGAGAAGAGGTCTACAGATATATGTAGATGCAGTGACACTTATTTTAGAGACTGCTGCCGGCTTTCACAGACCCTGAATCTCTGTTTCTGTTTTCTCACTCTGTTTACTGCACTGCACAGTCTGATTATGACTGACACGTGAGAGCCTTCTGCTTTGAATGTTCCCCAACCAGCTGTCTTCTGTACATGAAGGGAATCGAGAGAAAATATGAACTTTCTTGATTTCTTCATTTACATTACCCATTTTCCATTTTTAAATCCTGGAATGTGACCAGAATGAAAGAAAGCTGGATAGTGTGAATGAAGCTCATGGAACTCAGCCATAAGTATATTTCATCTTTCATTTGAACCACGGAAAAGGTATCTCACATTTTCCTGGTTGTTTTGACACATCTTTTTGATAGCTACTACACCCATGTCAAAGACAAAGAAAATGGATTACTAAGAGTACCACTATTTAATATTGTGTTTCAGACAGTATAGAAAAAAAGCAGCTCCCTCTAAGTGCTTTTTAACCAGTTTTAAAATTACCCAGACTCACCAGGTTTCTTCTGTCATTGCCAACAAGAGATATTATGAAACTGGAGCATAAGGCTAGATACTTTTATCTTTTTCAATGCTTTATTCAACCAACTCTAAAATGTGCAAGATAAGTCAAAGGCAAGGCTAGAAGAAGTAAAACGCCGGGTGCTGATGGCAAAGCAAGGCGGTGGGCTGAACCCTGAAGAGAGGGCTATAGCGGCAACATGGAGTGGTTTGGACTGACATGTGTGAATGTGTGAAGAGCTCTTTGCAAAGAGTTAACAGTGGATTTCAACAAATCACTGTGCCCACCTCTTGCTGTGAATACACTCTCGTGGACAGGTCTATCTGTAACATCAAATAATATACACCTAACGTAAAACTCAAATATCAACATTTTATTGAGGATGAGAAGAAAAATCCCCAAAGGAAAAAAACCCCATTTATCATTCATTCAGCAATTGAGTGGTTATATAGGTGGCCGATGTGCTGGAAAAATGCAGTCTCCTTCAGGGGATGTCCGGCAGACCTCAGACTGTGTGCCAGCTCCAGTCTGCTGAAGTGGCCGTCTGTGCTGAGGATGCTGAGTCTGTGTCGGGCTCTGGTAAAGAGGGCTGGGAAAGGCCACATGAGAGGCAAAGGCAGCACATGAAGTACACGTCACCACTCCTGGCTTGGTCTGATGCAGCACAAATGTTGACGAATGTGACAGAGCCATGAGCAGAGTGCCTCCAGAGTGCTAAGCAGGAAGAGCCTCACTTTGCATGAGGGAGTGGAGTGAGTCTTCACTCATTCATTCATTCAACAAACACTTCATCCATTCATTCAACAAGCCAGTGTTGCTGGCTAGGGGTGATTGATCTGGATCTTAAAGGATGGATAGGAATTTTCCAGGTGGCAGAAGATGACAAAAGAGGCTATTTTACCAGCAGAATCAATGTACAAATATGCATAGCCGGAAATGAGAAGTAATATGGTGGGGTTGGGTCACTGGTGGGAGATGAGGTTGGTACAGTAGATTTGGAAGATTGTGACTTACTCTCTCAAACTAGGATCCATTGGAACCTTTTAAGTAGAAAGTGACACGATCAGATCTGTGTTGCAGAAAAATAGTTCTGGTGACTAGATGGACTGGAATAGCTAGAGGCTGAATGCAGGGAGGCAGGAAAGTGTAGTATAAATTCAAATGAGAGACCTTAAGAATTCGAGTTGAAGTAAACACTCTGGAGAATGGACGGGGAAGCACAATTCTGATGAGAAAGAATGGAGAAGACCTGCTAGCTGATCTGCCATGGAAGATGGGTGAGCAGGAGGAGGCCGCAGAGGAAGAGGCTATTAACTGAAATAAGGAACACTAGAGGAGAAGATGCTTTTGCAAGAAACCCTTCTGAATGTGATGATTAGTTTGATAATCAGGTGGAGATGTCCAGTAGAAGACAAGAAGAATCAGACCTGGAAACCCAACCACACTGAGCGGGTGACTGAGGAGATGGGAGCAGATGAGGTGGCTTAAGAGTGAACAGAATAATACATGTAATACTTAAGAAATGAGGTAGAAAGAAGAGTTGGTGAAGGTACTAGAAACAGAGCTAGAAGAAGCCTAAGAGCAGTATCATAAAGTCAAGGAGAAGATTCCTTAGATGGTGGGAGCAGTGCCCAATGCCACAAGGACTAAAAAGACCTAAAAATCTGTGCCTAGCACAGTGGCTGGCACA